CTTTTTTTTTAAAAGCATGTTCTTTTATTTTCTAATTTTATTGGATTGATAGCAAAGCCCTCATGCATATATAGGTGCCTTAAATTTGAAACCTTTCTGCAGCTTTGACTTCTTGCTGGTGATGGGTATAATGCTCCATCTAGGGGCTGAGAAAAAGTGAATCCTAATACTTTAGGAGCAAAAATGAAATCTCCTCTTGGGGAAGCTCCATTGAGAGACAGTGGCTGCTAGTCCTCGAACAAAGGCCAACTATTCATGGAATCAGGAGAACTGGCCTTTGGTCTCATCTCTCTTCCCAAGTCACTGCACAGCCTCTCAACTCACAAGCCTTTCCTAGGTCTTAGTTTCCCATCTTCTCAGTTTTCCAGTTTTCCACAGAAAACACCCCTCCCCAGGAGTTCATGAACACAAGTTTAAAACCCCTGAAACCTGGGTGTGAGTCTCAGCTCTTCCCCTGTCTAGCTGTGTGATCTTGGGCAAGTCATTCCACGTCTCTGAGCATCATTTTCTAGGCAGCCTTAGAGTGGACATGAGGATTTGCCAGCCTGGGTAGGGCCTCTTCTAATGATGTCTGCAGCAAATGCCTTAAAAGTAGAGGGGGTACTGAAGCAGGACATACATCCCTGTAGTTGTCTTATAAATGGTATAACATGAATCTGGAAGCTCTCCTATGACACACTCAACTACAGCTTTTTCCAGCATGATTCGGTTTCCAAGCCTACATTATAGAGTGGAGCCTCCCTAGACTGAGCAATGCGAGATGGACAAAAATCAAGGGGCAGAAGATGAACAGTGTCCAGAAGCAGGAATGAAACCAATAATTGGGAAATCTGAGGGCCCATGTAAAGGGACTCAGTGAAGAGCTTTCAGAATCTCAGATTTCCTCCATCTGTGAGTACAGAATGACTACTTGATATTTTATTTTATTTTTTTAAAGATTTTATTTATTTATTTGACAGACAGAAATCACAAGTAGAGAGGCAGAGAGAGAGAGAGAGGAGGAAGCAGGCTTCCTGCTGAGCAGAGAGTCCTATGTGGGGCTCGATCCCAGGACCCTGAGATCATGACCTGAGCTGAAGGCAGAGGCTTTAACCCACTGAGCCACCCAGGCGCCCCAATGCTTGATATTTTAAAAGCTTTTCTAACTTCCCCAAGTTTGTAATTTTGTCACTCATTGGCTGTTTCCTTGGTATGGTTAGCAGTTTAAAAAAAAAAAAAATCCTTAAACCAAAAAGTGTCTGTGTACTTATAAGGAACAGCAAGCCAGCTGGGAGCTGGTGGCAGCGGCCTCTTGTCACCTGCTGGAGTGGCCTACAGATGAAGGTGTGTGAGTAGGAAAAGCAGAAGAGGTGGAAAGAAAAGAGGAAATAGGTGTCGGGCAGGATGACTATCATTTACCAGCCACTAGTCTGTCTCATGCATTTCTTCACTGAATATTCCTATGAACAAAGCATTCCTATTATCTTCACTATACATTTTGAGGAAACTGAGATTTAGGAAAGGATAAAACAAGTAATTCCCCTGAGGTTCTGTTAAAAAAACAAAAACAAACCAAAACCCCCAAACAGCGCCTCCATACACACACAAAATGGCAGAGCTGAGATAGAAGCCTGAGACTTGAGACCCTGTGGTGAGCTCTCAGTTCCCACTCAATGCTACCTGGGAGACAGTGAGGGGGAAAGACTAGGAAGAAAGGATCAGAAATGTTACTGAGGCAGTAGAAGGACCAGAGGCATAATCAACAGAAGACTTGATCCCAGGCTAATTGATGACAGATTCAGAGTCCCTCCCTAGTTAGAGACTAGATCCTAATGGAACAATCTGGGACCATTTCACACATTCCTGTCTAGCTGCCAAGAAAGCAATGAAATTAACGCTCAGGCTGGACAGAATGATTTGAGTCCCTAAGCACCTGGAGGGGTCAGAGCTTGTATTCCTCGAACAGACTCTCTTTAGCTGAGGGAAGACACCTATGAGTGTTTTTATTGTTGTTGTTTGTGTTTGAATTATGGTTCCAAACCATCTGGAGCTTTGTAGCATTCCTGGAGAATTTCAAGAAATGTCCTAGACTTTTCCCTCCGAAAAAAAATGTGTGTGCACATATATACACAGAATGATATGTATAATTTCATGGGGTTCATACCCTCTAGCCCATCCATAGACACTCCACCCAGGAGCCCTGGACATAGTTTAAAATCCCTGAGGTCTAGGTGTGATTCCCAACTCTCCCTCTCCCAGCTGTGTGATCGTGGGCAAGTCACTCCACATCTCTGAACTCCATTCTAGGGAGCCATGGAGTGAGGATGAAGAATTGTCACTCTGGGTTATGCTAATTTTAGGGAATAATAATTTTGACCAGATCTTCTTGAAGGATTCAAACCAGCCCACATTTACGGAAGGCTTGTCGTCCAAAATTACATGAAGAAATGAGGAGGGGGTCAGGGATATTTAGCCAAGGGAAAACACCCACAGAAACATGTGGGCTCTGAAATGAGTTGAAACCATTTTCATGCAGATGAAGAAGTAGGATTCATTCTGAATTATTCTGTAAGTGGCTCCAGCAGAGGGTACTGGGTGAAGCGTGGCGGAGCAGAAAGCCGCTCAGCATGGTGTCAGACCTGCATCACAGTTGAACAGACACAGGTTACATTGAGGCTGTCATTGACCAGATGAGTTAATAACCGCTACGGGCTCTGAAACGGAGGTGACAATGGTACCCATCTCCTAGGATTTTGTGAAAAGTCAACTGAAGTAATGCACTTAACATGCACAAGGTTAAAACAGAGACTTCAGTGGATGGCAGCTTCTCTAATAATGTCTCTGACCCTCCATTTCTTTGTCTGTAAAAGGGGGATATTCTCTATACCCAATCAGGTCACTGTGAGATTTAAATCAGAAAATGCACACAAAACACTCTACCTACATCATCTGATACAGAATCGAGTCCTCAGCAGGTGGGAAGTGCAATGATGATTATGAAGTTTTCGTGACAAAAATCAATGGGAAGAGAGGACAGTAAAGGAAATGAACATAACCTTTTATTTCAAAATGGAAGGGGAGGCAAAAATAAATAAATAAATAAATGTGTATATATATGTATGTATGTGTATATATATGTATGTATGTGTATATATATGTATATGTATGTATGTATGTATGTGTATATATGTGTGTGTGTGTATGTATGTATGTATGTATATGCACAAACTCAGAGCTAGACTTCCTACACCTGCACTTGAGAGCAGTGTGGCTTGGGAAAGTTGCACAAAACAGGGATATGAGCATCAGCTAAAAAGGAATTGAATGAAGTGACCCATGAGAAGAGCTTGGCTCCACACCAGCACGTAACACGCATTCAGTAAAATCCTGGTTTCTTCCATAACAACTAAAGGTAACACAGAGATAGACCTTCTTATAACAAGCTCCTCTTCAGCGGTGTAGGCGAGGGTTCTCTCTCCTCCGGGATTTATCAAGGAAGAGAGAAATGAAATTACCAGGGATATTACAGAAGAGGGTAAAACATCAAGATGACCTCTTGTTCCCTTGCAATTCGGTGTAAGGTAAGTCTGAGTTTAAATGAAATGAATGGTAACATTTTGAAAAGTCCTTGCCTCCATGATTTTTCCAGTGGCTACCTTCCCTTCTGCCAGAAAATAGGCCCCCACCTCTACCCCACACCACGGACAAAGAAGATTTGGAACTTGGGCATCTAGCTTCCCTTCAATTCACAACTAGTCCAGATTTTCTGTCTTGCTGCTGGAAAAGGTAGCACCTGCCAAAGCTTTTCAACATGAGATCAGCCTTGCATTTCATCTTGACTTATAGTCTTCCTTCAAAACGTATTCCCCCTCCACTCACTCTTGTATGTCCCCTCTGATTGTGTCTTCTGAGCCTTTGCGAGTGATGTCCCATTGCCTCCTTCACAGAGCTAAAGAACTATCATTTTCTAGCTAGTAAACATATAGAAAGATGCTCAAACTCTTTGTTAATCAGAACAGCAAAAAGCATAAGATGACATTTTTTCCTTGGGAGATTAAAAAAAATTAAACAAATGGTCATATCAAGTGTAGGAAGGATGTAGGAGGGCAGACACTCTCTGGATGGGAAAATAAATTGGCAAGGCCTTTCCGGAAGACAATTTTGCAATGGCTATTGAATTTAAAAGTGGACATTTCTTTCAGCCTAGCATTTCTCCTTCTAGTCACCCCCCTAGTGATAGAAACACCAGCATAGACACTTAAGGCAACTGTCACATACAAGGATGACCCCTGCAAACTACTTATGGTAATGAGCTATTTGAACAACCTCAATGTCCCTTAGTGGGCAATGATACTATAAGTATCCATAGTATAAAACACCATACAGCAATTTAACACAATGAAGCAAATCTACACGAACTGGAAAAGAAAGTGGTCCAATATATAACGTCAAATGAATAAAACAAAACGCAGAAGGCTGTGTACACTAGGACAGAATTTTTTTAAAAATCCACATACAAAACAAAGCTGAATTTTTTCTATATCTGTATACACACATAAACAAATAGAAAAAGATCTGAAGAATGCTTCTTTTCAACTAATAGCAATGATTATCTCAGAGGAAGGGCTGAGATTCAAGACAGGGAGTCAAGAGAATTGTTGTCTACTCTTTTTATGTCTCCCTAACAAAAATACATTAGTGCAGTATTTGGGCAATCTACCATAAATTACTAATTTTTTTTTTTAATGAATGAATGATTTTCTGGCACTTCTACCTTCAAGACAGAAACAGCTAAGGAAGAAGGGGAATCCCAACAGAGGGGTTTCAGAAATGAGGCAGAGGAGGGAAGAAGCCAGCTCAGAAGATGTTAGCACATTTCACTTTCATCCTAGCTTGTGGGAAGACAGAGGATGTGACCACAATGGAACCAAAAGAGCTGAATCCCAAGAAAAGCAGGCAGATGACAGATCAGATTGTTCTCACGGCCAAAGACAAAACCACGCAGGAGCACAGCCCCTTACCTCCTGTCTGAGGAAAAGTCACTGGGTCACTCGTCTCCCACATGGAGGCCTGGGATGTTGACTGGAAAAACCAGGCTTCAGACTCTGAAGAAAAAAAAAAAAAAGGAAAAGAGAAAACAAACTTAGTAAATACCTCTCTTTATTTATTTTTGGTGCCTCACTGCCCCCTAAACTAACTTCTGTCATAAAAAATAAAAGAAAGCCAATGTTTACTGAGCATGTAGTACATGTCAGACAGTGTTCTAAGTGATCTCCGTGCATGCTCTCATTTAATCCTCAGAAAGAGACAAGGATGGGTGTTATTAGTCCCATTTTACCAATGTGGAAGCCAAGGCCCAGAGAGACAAAATAACTTTCCCAGAGTCACACAACAGATAAGAAGCAGGACTTAGGCCCAGGCACTGTGACTCCAGAGCACACACATGATCCCCCATCATACTACCTCCCTATACTGTACTAATTTAAGAACTGATTGATTTTTTTTACACTCCATAGATGTCTGCTTCCCTCTACTTGATTATAACCCCATAAGTAATATCTTCTACTTGAGGCATTCAGCCATGGCCATTATATGCGTGAAGTTATACAGCTCTCCAACTCACCTGGGAAGAAACCGAGGCCAGAGACCCCTGGCAAAAAGGAGTAGAAGAGGGAGCCAAGGCTGGGCAGTTCTCTCTGGCAGCCCCATGGATGTAAATCATTCCTTATCTTTAGGGTAGTCTCTGCCCTTGGGCCCTAGTAAATACCTAAAGAAGGCTTGAGGGATGGATGAAAGGTCACATGTATGAAAGAATTCTCCCTCTACTACAGAAAGCCAGTGAGACAAGTGAGGATATCCCTCAAAGGGATCTACAGAGATCCTTGTGCTTGGAATTAGGATGAGACAGCTACGCACTACCTCGCCTAAACCAGAAAGGCAAATATTCCAGAGAGTGCTACCATGAAGAATTGCTCAAAAACAATTCAAGGTCAGTCCCAATCTCTCTCCCTCTCTTTCTCTCTCTCCCTAGCCCCCTTTCTCTCAAAGCCACAAGAGTGAATGAGCCACAAATATTGTCCAGTTTGTCCTACGTGGTGTTCATGGCACACAGGACCCAAAAGTCATCTCTAATCATCTGATTCAACAATACTTTACTCTCCTCAGTGTAAGAAATGAGGAAAAGAAAAAGAAATTGTCCATGTACCCTTGGATGTCAGCAAGGCAGTGCTTCCAGAAGTCACCTCAGTGCTTATCTCAGGGTCTTTGGAGAGAAAGAAAGTTTCTGACTCTGGAAGAGAAAAAAAGTTCAGTAAAAGGGAGCAAAAAATAAGTGTTTGTGCTGAGTGCTGGGATTTGGGCCTATTTTTATAGTTGTCTTTTGTGCTTTTTTATGTATTTCAGGTTTTCTTCAAGGATTCCAAGTAATTTTTAGGCTCAAGGGGAGAAAACTATAAAATATTATATATTAAGATGATTATTTTAAAGGCCAAAAGAATAAAAAATACATACAAAAATTGACTGGCTTATGGTTCATGGACTTTAGATGACTACTCAGAATATACAAGGACTAGTAAATTCAATGTCGTCAAGCTATTTAAACTATTTAGGCCTTACTGAGGCAGCTGGGACACCTAAGAAAGACTTCACACTATCTCTTAATGGTTTTCTAATATTACATTGGAATCAGAGGTTGAAACATGGTGGGACCTTTGATAGGCCCTGTAAGTAATAGAGCTAGTAACTCAATGAGGGTCCAAGACGCAGGATCAAAAAGGATTGGGCAGAAGAAGGGGGGGGGGGGGAGGAACAGAACAGAAGGGAGGGAGGAAAGAAAAAAGGAAGAAAAAAAAATAAGGGAAATTGGGGCGCCTGGGTGGCTCAGTCATTAACATTCTGCCTTCGGCTCTGGTCATGATCCCAGGGTCCTGGGATTGAGCCCCACATCGGGCTCCCTAATCAGCGGGAAGCCTATTTCTCCCTCTCCCACTCCCCCTGCTTGTGTTCCCTCTCTCACTGTGTCTCTCTCTGTCAAATAAATAAATAAATAAATAAATAAATAAGCAAGCAAGCAAGCAAGCGTAGAACTTGTTCATCATCAAGGGGTATTTTAGGCGTCTGGAGACCTTTCCTCAGTCTCTACTGCCCAGGCAGAGACTTAGCCCCTGACAAACTGAAACCAGATTCTGACCCTCGGTGACATTTCCTGGTTCTTCAGTAAATATCTCTGAAATTCCTGGAAGGTCAACTGGAGAACCAAAACAAAACAAAACAAAACAAAAAACAACAAAAAAACTGACTTTCAAAAAAAGCGGGGGTGGGGTGGGGTGGGAATAGGGTGAAAAAAGAAAACCATAAAACAAAGAAAAGGAACACGTAGTGAAACCACAACCTTTGCTGAGACCCACACACATGAACACATGCACACACATACTGCTATAAGCTGAATTATATTCCCCAAAATTCATATGTTGAAATCCTAACCCCCAAAACCTGAGAATGTGGCCGTATTTGGAGAAAGAGGTAACTAAGGTACAACGAGGTTATATGGAAGGGCCCTAATTCGATATGAGTGGTGTCCTTATAAGAAGATAACTTTAGGCCACACACTCACAGAGGGAAGGCCATGTAAAAACACAGGGAGAAGGTGACCATCTTAAGCCAAGGAAAGAGGCCCCAGAAGAAATCAATCCTACTGAGACCTTTATCTCAGACTTCTAGCATCCAGACTGTGAGAAAATAAATTACTGTTGCTTAAGTCTCTCAGTTTGCAGAATTCGTTATGACAGACCTAGCAAACCAGTACGCGCGCGCGCGCGCGCACACACACACACACACACACACACACACACACACACACACACACATATCCAAGAGCAAGTCTCTGGACTGCCCCATTCAGTAAAAAGAACCCTGTTTCAAGGGACCAAGATACATGTGACCCGCAGAAGGGAAAGAATGGCCAAATGTACCACGTACCTGCAGTGAGGATGGTCCCCTCCATGGAAAGCTCAGTGGTTGGAAGAACTGTGGTGGCTTCAGAAAGAAATGTTGATGTGGCTGGAGGGCATGTCGTTGCCACTGTTGTGAGGGCAGTGGTGGTTCTTGTCTGAAGTGGTGTTCTGGTTGTGAGCTCAGGTGTAATCATAGCTCTTGTTGGAAGCACAGCTGTGGTTGTTGTCAGAGCAGTGGTGGTGGTTGGGAGACGTGTTGTGGAGCGCCTGGTTGATGGGGCTGTAACCAGTAGAAGATATGTCTGGTACCAATCAGAGACAGAGGAGAAGGGAAACCATAGAAATATATGTGGGATCTGTCTATTTCTCTTCATTTCTGCGCCCTTACCTGGTCTCCTGAGCTGAACCACTGTACTGCCCATGAAAGTTGGGTTTCTTACCTCTACTCTTGGCCTTTCCAATCTGCTCTTCATAGATTGGTTAAAATAATCTTTTTAAATGACAAATAATTATGTCAGTCCCCTGTTTGAAACTTTTTACTGGGTCCTCCATACCCCTAAAATAAAGGACCCAATCCCCAAACTTGACCCACAAAACTCCACCTGATCCTGCTCTTTCTTTACAATCTCAAGTCCCCACTCTACTCTTCTTGCTTTTCCCCAGCCCACTGACCTTTCTTCATCTCTTTGAACAGTGATCTCACCTTGGAGGGACTTTGTACCTGTTGCTCCCTAGCCTCTCCCTTTATTAGTCTGACTCCTACGGAACCCTCTTGTAGCAGCTAAAAGGACACCGCTGCAAGGAGGTCACCCATATTCTGCCATTGTGATTAGGTTTCTTGGTTTTGCACTGCCATACTTTGCCTTCACAACATTTATTGCATTCCTAACTGCACATTTTATCTGACGATTATGGTTTAACACCTTCTTCTCTTGACTGCAAGCTCCATGAGGGGAAATCTGGTATTTACTTTGTTCTCTGCCACAAATCTAATACCTACCCCAGTGTTGGGCACATAGTAGGTATTCCAAAAACATTGCATCAGTGAGCAAATGAACAATTGCATAAAAAATGAGCCCAAACAGGGGCGCCTGGGTGGCTCAGTGGGTTAAAGCCTCTGCCTTCAGCTCAGATCATGATCTCAGGGCCCTGGGATCGAGCCCCACATCAGGCTCTCTGCTCACCAGGGAGCCCGCTTCCTCCTCTCTCTCTGCCTGCCTCTCTGCCTAGTTGTGATCTCTGTCTATCAAATAAATAAATAATATCTTTAAAAAAAAAAAAGTGAAACCAAACATAAAATTTCAGTCAAATAAGATGAAGAAGCTCTAGAGTTGTGCTGTACAGAATAGTACCTGTAATTGACCTGTAATTAACAATAATATATTATACACTTGAAAATTTGCTGAGTAGAACTCATCTTAGGTGTTCTTTCCATAATAAGATAAAATTAAAATCTAAAAAAAGGAGTGAGCCCAAAGTATGCAACATGGGTTGAGAATATAGTCTCTTTCAGATATTATAGGTAAACTTACGCCAACACCACTGACCCCTAATATTTGAATTTGGGCTCATCAGCCACAATTATTCTATATGTGCTACTCTCTCTTAAATATGACAAATTTCAATTAACTCTAACAGATTCCAGTGAGCTTAGAAATGACCCATGGATATTGAGTTCAAAAGGTATTTTATAAAATAATAGCTGGTTATACCAGGCTTGAAAAGAGAGTACTTGGATTAGCATCATTTAACTTCAATAAATCAGAAAAAATGCTTTCTTTATCACAAAGTCACTTTCAGAGAAAAATATACTAATGTGTATGAATGTTCTCTAAGGAGAAGCATCCATATAAGTTGTTCTCAAATTCTAGAGTGCATTGAAGTCCCCTGAGAATCCTGTTAAGTGTCTGGCTATAAGCATATGACTCTGCCTCCCAAAATGCCTACCCAGTTAGGAACAGAGCACAAGAATCTTCCATCTTTGATGCAGGTTGAACACAGAGCTTACTCTGAAAGGCTCCATTCCAAACAAGCAGGAAAGCTGATTACTGTTAGCATAATTCAATCCTAGCCTGCTTTCCATGCATCTCAAATCTTTAAGAGTTCCACCATCTTCCAGTTTCTTCAAAAGCAACTAATATTAACAGAAGGAAAGGCCACCTGAAAACTGTTACGATGGTCTCCAAATCTCATGCCCTTTCCCCTCTGCTGGAAGTCACAAACTATTGGCTGATGGGCTGAAGCTGACCCATGGACACATTTTATTTAGTTTACACGGTAGTTCTTTTTTTAATCTTAGGCAACATGCAAAAATCAATGCCATGCACATAAAAATTGGGAGATCTGAAAACACTGCACACAAATTTCTGCAAAGTGACAATCTCCTAGGTAAGAAGCAGATGCCTTCTGCACATTGATCCTGAAATTCACTGGTAGTCTTCTCCATGTACCCTCCACTCACTCATTTCTAAGGTCTTCTTGGCCCCCATGCCATTTGCTTCCTACTGTGGCTCCTCTAGCCATAGAGACACATCTTAGATTTCATCTGCCCACTCATGCTTAAGCACCTACAGCCTGCCCAACAGCACCCACTGAATCCATTCCTCATCCACTGCTGGCATCTCCTTTTGCAGATACAAGCCCCTTTGTGCACGTACCTCTCATCAACCGCAGGCGAATGTTCTTCTTCACGTCATTGAACCAGCCAGGGACCTCTATGCGGCAGCAGTACACACTACTGTCATCTTCATTGGTGTTGAAGATGGTCAAGGAGACATCGCCTCTCCAGATAGTGCCCAGAAGTTCATATTTTGGTGACTTCTTGGACAGCACTGACTTCCCATTGGTGTAGAGAAGCTCATTATTGCATTTGGATTTGGGACACTCGCCCTTGCCCCAGCACATGCTGTTCCTGTTGTGAGACCAGGATGAGTATATACAGGGCAAAGTCACCGTCTGACCCAAATACGCTCTCACAGTCTCTTCTGCAGCTGAACCTGTGAGGAAAGATGAGAAAAATAGGCTGTGTGGTTCTAAAATCTCTCAAATATGCTACATGGCATTTGTGTAGATAGCTGCTTCCAGGATGATGAAAAGAGTAGTAGTGTATATCTTTTTAGCTTAAATTCCAACATATCCTTAGCTGCCGCTGAGTCCCTAACTCCACACCCTTTTGTACCCTAACTGGAAACAGCTGACCCATGTGAGTATCCAGACTTGTCTCCACAACAAGACGTTTTGGCTGATCTTGGGGCACCTGGGTGGCTCAGTTGGTTAAGCATCTGCTTTTGGTTAGGTCATGATCCCAGCCTGCAACAGGCTCTCTGCTCAGCAGGGAACCTGGTTTTCCCTCTCCCTCTGCCTCTCTGTCAAATAAATAAATAAAATCTTTTAAAAAAGCAAATAAATAAATAAAAATACCAATCCATAAACAAAAAAATGATCTTGAGTACCATTCCATAAACAAAAATTTCTCTCATGAAAAGGCCATCACTTTAATCCAATTCCACTAACTCATATGAGCAGATCCAAAACCAACACTCTACCCATTGTATCTCAATAAGCAGTGAGCATGTACTACAGACCCAAATGCTTCAAATGGGACTCACTCCACCCTCCCACCCAGAGAATGCTATGGCAGTAACATAGGCTTTTGAACTACATTCTATTTTCCTTCTCTTCTTTCAGTACTGGATGCAGAAATTAATTGCTCTGGACCATTTATTCATTGTTAGAGAATATGAAGTTAGGTGGAGTTTAAAAACATTGTTAATGTTAGAACTGGAAAGGACCACAGAAATTAGATACAATGGCAGCTGTGACATACAGAAATGCTGGAAGGTTAGTCTTACCAGATAAGCTGTGTAAGATGGAAGGCATCACTATTTCTAAGATGAAGTAGTCATCTTTACCAGCTTTGGTTGCTCATCAGCATGACCTGGGGAGCTTGTTAAAAATGTAAATTTTATTGTCCAACCCTGAATCAGAACCTCTGAGGCCATGGAAATATACCTAACTAAATTCTCCAAGTCATTTTTTTTTTAAGATTTTATTTATTTATTTGACAGAGATTACAGTTGGTGGAGAGACAGGCAAAGAGAGAGAAGAGGAAGCAGGCTCCCCGCTTAGGAGAGAGCCCCATGCAGGGCTCAATCCCAGGACCCTGGGATCATGAACTGAGCCAAAGGCAGAGGCTTTAACCCACTGAGCCACCCAGGTGCCCCTCTCCAAGTCATTCTGATGTCACTTGCTACTCACCCACTGTTTGAGGACCAAGAGACAAGCTCTTCTAAGATTACTTCCATCTCTGAGAATCTATTAAATATTTTCACTGCTGCAAATATCAAGCCCAGTAGTTTAAGAGAGCCTCAGCAATTATTCTAATACCCTCATCCCCCAAAAAATGCTCTTGAAGATAGACTGAAGCTCCAGACCATCAGGACTTCATCCTGCACCTGCTGGGGTCTATAGATCCTGCTTATTGTTTTCTCCAGTGTAACTTCCTGTGAGACTCTCCATTCACTAACTTTGTGGACCTATACGACTAAGCTATATAAGACAAGGCCAGCATTACCAGGTTCCTCTCTAACTCAAGTGTCAGGAATGTCCACATATCCCTCTCTAGAAAAAGGTGAGCACAAACTTTAAGAGTCACCAAATTCAGAGCAGCCTAGAGCCTTCCCTGATATCACAGTTTCTTCATTTCATCCTAGTAGAAATGTTTCAATGATTATAAATGCTCTGGAAGTCCCTTCGGCCCACCACAAAACAAGGAAAAATAAATAAATAAGAAATTCATTGTCATCCCTTTCACCTATATTAACAACACAGAACATATGCTCCTAAAACTAGTAACTCCTACAATGTGAACTTATTCTTATATTTGGAAAATTAATAACAAATACGTGCAGGAATTATTTCTGCTGGAAACTGGACAGTTTATTTTCTTAGTATCATAGTATGGAAGGAGGCATCCTATTACTCAGTAAGAAAAGACCAGATACAGCAGACAAAACAGGCATAGTTGAGGAAATGTGAGCAGCCAGTAAATTTCACCAGTGAAACTGGCAAAAATTTAGAATGTCATTGATATTAAGGTTGGCCAGACAGGGACCTAGGAAATGATTTAGACTACTGGAGTATACTGGAATAAAATGGGAAGTTAATTGATAGAGCCAAACTATGGGGCAATCTGGCAGTTTCCATTAATACCAAACATGCGTATATCCTAGCTAAGCCTTAGCAATTTTATGTTTTGTTATGCACACTAGAAAAACACATATCCGCAAAGAAACCTATTTGCAAATGTTTGCTGCAGCTTTCATGTATATATGAGTGAAATGAACAATGCGTGCATGGGGAATGGCAGAACCATGGCATATGCATTCCAAGGAATCATGAATGAATCATTCATTCCCTGTAACCATTCCAAGGTTAGTAAAAGTAGAGAGATCTATATCCGTTGACGTGAAAATTCCTTATTAATATATGAAAAGGACAAATTCATAACAATACATAAAATATAAAAGCATCTCTTAACATAAATAAGACAATTTGCCTTTTTTTTTTTTTTTGGTGGGCACAGACGAATGAAAGCAAATGCATAGAAAAATGTCTGGTGAGATATACACCTAACTCAGTGTACCAGTCACCTCTGTGATCAGAGAAGAGGAACTGGGACTAAAAGTAGTAGTCAAAGGGATTTTAGCTTTATAATGGCTACTGTTTTTTCACCAAGAGTGTTTCTATATCACCGATCTGATTAAAAATTAATATTAAAAAAAGGAAGCAGGCAATTTGGTGTGGCAGAAAAACACTCATTAAGCTTACATTGTAAACCTCATTCTGCCAGTTACTGCTTTTGTGTTCTTGGAGGAAATCCACAACAATCCTAACCTCATTATCATCAAAAGACAAAGGGGATATATAATACTTGCTTCAGAAATAGTTCAGAGTTTCACATGCCATGAAGTATCAAATGACACATGAAAGTAATAAAGTATTGGTACAAGTAACCAAACATTTCAGAATTTATAAATAGGATGGGAACCTGTTCCTTGCCATTATAAAAGGATCTTGGAGTAGAGGAATCATTGGCATCAAATCAATTCCCCTCTTGAGAAATGGTAGGTGCAATGAAGGTTCTGGTGCCAGCTGGTTTCGTTCTCCAGCTGGTGACCTCAGAAAAGGTCCTTTACCAACCTGGGTTTCAGCTTCACCATTTAGAGAATAAAGGGTTTCATTCCACATCTTTTTCTTTTTTTTTTTTTTTTTACGATTTATTTACTATTTATTTGAAAGAGCAAGAGAGCACAACAGAGGCAGGGGGAGGAGGGGCAGAGGGAAAGAGACAAGCAGGATCCTCCTGACACGAGGCTAGATCCCATGACTCTGGGATCATGACCTGAGCCGAATGCAGACACAACCTAGTGAGACACCCAGGCTGCCCCCTCATTCTGCATCTTTCAAGAGCATCTCCAGCCCTGACAGATTCTTTGTGATTCTGAGCAGTCACTCTCCTTTAAATTAGTCATTTTGGAAAAGGCACAAATGAAAAACAAGCAACAGACCATTCTCCAGGTACAGCTTCCTACATGTAAGGTTGGAGAAGCCCACACAATCAGTGTCCGGCCAGTAGCAGGAAATGTGGACCTAGACTCCAGCAACCTTCAACATAATGAAACCTCCACACCTCAACTTACTCAGGACAAGATAAAGAGTGAAGACACTGATAAAGTGACAGGGACTGCCTTCTTTCGGTGAACTACAGAGTACCCAGAGAGGGAGGCAATTAAATGATCAGTTACTTCAGGGTGATAAATTTTCTAACGAATGATTCCATGGCAGATAAGAACTCAGAGCAGAAACACCTAAACCCCTCCAGAGGCTCTGGGTGCTCAAGAAAAGCCTCACTTGGGTGGAGACCTGAGAATGCATGTAGTTTCAGAGGAAAGAAAGTCAGACAAAAATCAGCATGACAAAGGTTCAAAGGGTAGAGAGAATACATTTGTTTTCCTTGGAATGGGCTGTTTTCTCATGCAGCATATTTGAAAGATCATGTGCAAATAATTATGAACTTTAAAAAGTGCTAGGGACATTAGATACTGCCTAGTTCCAGAATCATGGATTGTTCAAATTGGTCTTACCAAAGCCCCTCATTTTATACATAGAAGAGACAGCAATCTTCGAAAGGTTCCCAATGTTAATGGTTAGTGACCAAGACACAAGGGCAGCTCAGTGCAGAGCATTTTGCCCAATGCTGCCAGGATGCAGAAGTCTAAGCTGGCCCAAACTGAGTGTATACATCTGCAGCATCCAAAACCTGGAAACAATGCACAGAAAAGAAGCCTCACCTTGAAGCCTCATCCTCAGCAAAATAAAACAAACAAAAAGCAAACTATAACTCCTAAAAATCAAGAGGAAAAGTAAGAATTATAATAAGAGCTCTTGTAGAACAAATTCCCCAGACTCCAACTGTGCTAATAATACCTGCAGAAGAAATTTCTTTTTCCCATCTCATCTGACCCTTTATTTTGTGTTTCTTCTTAAATGGTCCTTTCCGATATGAACACAAATCATCCCACCCTAAAACTCCAAAACCAGTTGCAGGATAAAAATCCTGTATAACAAGAAAGGGGAGAGACCCTCAAAGAAGGAAGCCTGGAGAGAAGGAAGAATGAAGCAGGCTTCTGCTCTATTGAGGCCTGATCAGCCATGAGAATCCAATACAGGATGCCAAGCTATCCAGAGACTCCTGCATGGAAGGATTCAGAACACTTACTCAGAGAAAGCCGCCCAAGTTCAATCAGCAGCCAGAGAATAAGAGGCCCTTTGGACATTTTGATGGTTGGCAGGCCCCAGGAGTCTGTCTGTCTATCCAAAGCCCATTTCTTATACTCCAGTGAATGCTGACAGGGCAGGACATTTTAGTTTCATTTCTCTTTCTGCTTCATAATCTTCCCTTTCCCCCCTCCTGAATGGCTTCCCTGAATCTGGGATGTACGACAAAATGTGCTGAGCACTTTTCTCCCGGCCACTAGTGTATGTCAAATGTGTGCACAGATCATGAGGTTGCATGTGTATTCCTTTGTCCATGTGTATCGAGGGATTTCCTACCTGTGTGTTAGCATCCATGCATGTGCTGATGTGTATGTGCATGTGGGAGCTGTGCTCAAGCTACAGTCCTCCTGGCTACTGTGCAGCTCAGAATAAAATGCCATGAACTCTCCTCACTGACAGCTGTTTACAAATGGACTCCTCTTAGGGGCCAAAGGAAAGTTAGCCTAGAATTTGCCTCTGCTCCCTTTGCCTGTTTCACCTGTTTCTCCATCACTCAGACCTTTGATTCGTTTACCCCAATAACGGAAAAAGAAAAGCAGGGCTGCAATCAACCATCACATAATGGTGATTAGAGTTTACTAGACAAGGAAAGAAGAATTCAATAGAAGAAGCATACTGTGGCCATTACCGGATGGGCTCAGATAATAAAGAAACCCAAGGTCCAGACCCAATTCTACTGCTTTTTAAGTGAAGCCACTTGATAAAATATAATTCACAAACCAGATTACACAGTTTGACTCTATAGATTCAATGATCTATACAAGAACCACAGAACCAGTTATAGAAGGAACCAAATTAGTCAGTTGTGTTTTCTAAAATAGACTTAGGGGCACCTGGGATACTCAGTCAGTTAGGCGACCAACTCTTGATCTCAACTCAGTTCTTGATCTCAAGGTTGTGAGTTCAAGCCTCATGCTGGGCCTACAGCCTACTTTAAATTTAATTAATTAATTAGATTTAGATCATCATCATTGGTTATTGAAATCTTAGTTATATACCAGGCACTCTGCTACATGATACAGATGTATTATTTAATTGTCACAATCCTAAGAAATAGATATATTTTTTCTCATTTAACACATAAGGAAACTGAGGCTTAAGGGAGCTACATAAATGACATTGACAGCTAAGAAGGTGTGAAAACAAGGCTCAAGCCCAAGTCTCCCTGATCCCAAAGCCCATGCCCCTAACCACTGCATCCTCCTTTGACCTGTGATCCTTAGGGTAACACAGCCATGGGACTGCCCACACCAGTGGCCATCAGATCCCACCCAGCCCCAGAGAAGGAATTTAAGGATGCACAAATGCTCTAGATTTTTTTAAAAAATCCTCTTTTGATTATAACCAGTCAAATGAGACTCAGACATTCAAAATGGCTCCCAGTAAAAGTATTTGTGAAAATACAAATATTGGATGGGGCTTTGGACTCAGAGAAGCCAGAAAAATGGGGGAAGAAATGAAAATGAGGGACTCAGGGAAAACCCTCCCATTGAATACCCATTGAATTGTGGAATCCTCTCCCTAGGGAACTGGGGGGTTTATTCTCTGGATAAACTCAACAGCCCTAATAAAACACTTGCAGATACTGATATTTGGGTTTTCCCCAATAATATAAACACAATTGCCCTTCAATAAAGTCACCAGTGCATGAGCCTCAGTCTTGTATGCAGCACTCCTAATTAGTGTCATTTTAAGTAAAAACAGACAACCAAGGATCTGAGACATGTGGGGAAAGTCTTTAGGATGAAAAAGATGACAACATCCAAGATGACTTTTCCCCCTCACATATATAGCAAATTGATAAGATGACTAGAAGACCAAAGAGTTGGACAGGCAACCCTTTCTCTCCACATGGCCTTTCCTCAAGGCATCTTGGGCTTCCTTACAGTATGGCAGCCTCAGAGTAAATGAATTTCTTTCATAGTATCTGGCTTTCTCAAAAATGAGTGTTCCAACAAGCTCAGGAAGAATCTGCAAAGGTTGTGACCTAAACCTACACATGATTCAGTATCATTTCTACTGCATTCTCTTGGTCAAAAAGTAAGTTATAAGGCCATCCCAGATTCAAGTAGAGGGAACAATATGAGAGTGTGAATATCAGGAAGTTCGCTGGAAGTAAAGGGGAAGCATCTTTGCAGACTAGTTACCACAATGAGCAAAGCAGGCTGGAGCAGAAGGGCAGAGAGATAAAGTTTGTGGTGGTGGTGGTAAGTGTAACTGGTAGATCATCTCATGCATTTAGGTATTTTGAAAACAGATTCAATAGATCTTTGACAAAAACGGGTAGAATGGTTTTCGATGAATTTTGATAAACACTTGGAACATTAAGAAAAGGAAAATGTGAGACAATTATTACAATCAGGAAAGATAAAATATTGTACAAGAAAGAATATGTAATTATAGTACATTTGCTCAATGTGAAACACAGTTATATGGTCATGATAATGTAAACTCTGGCTACTAGTTTAACACAAAATTATAATATGAATACATTGGGAAGATAGGCAGAGAGGAAGTGGGGGGGAGGGGAAGAAAGCCAAACCCTAGTCACCCTTAGAGGAGGTCAATAGACAATGATCAGAGTAATCAGTCAAACAATACCAGTATAAGCACATTATTTGTAATATGGAAGGGGAAAAAAAAACAAAACAAAACAGAGGAAACAACTCAGAAGAGCTTACATTTTATGGGAAGGAGTAGGAAAGGAACTATTTTTTTAGTTATGCCTTTTAAGATAATTTCACTTAAAAAAAAATGTACATATTGAGCACACCTGGCACCCAGATATTAATTTCTAAATACCACTCTCCAATAGAAGGAACCAGGGATCTTTGAAGAAATGGCTGATTCTAGGACTAGGGCAACAAGTACTTCAGATGAATCTGGAACATCTTGTACTAGAAAGTATGAAAGTGCTAAATAAACAAATAGATGTTCAATAGATAGATAATAGATAGATCGATAGATCAATAGATAGATAGATGATAGATAGAACCCACAATGGTGCAATTGTTAGTGGAATACAGGAGACAACTGAAAGAGTTCTCAATGACCAAAGCTGGAACAACCTGACCAACAAAATAAATTAGTACTGGATTATAGCACAAAGTATAAAAAAGAAGTCTATACTGATATAATGACTGAATCAATAAATAAGTGAGGGAGAAGAGACAAATCTTCCATTCAAAAGAATTCCAAATAATTTATGTAGAGACTTCACCCTTAAAGGGAAGGTGGAGCATAACTCCCACTCCTTGAGTGTGGGCTGGACACAGTGACTTTCTTCCAAAACATCCAGCCAAGACAGTGAGAACAAAGATTACCTTTAGAGTGAAGAAATCTGGCAGATGTTACCTCAGGCATGTGATCAAAGTCAGCATCAACAGATAAGTCACGTTGATGGTTTGCACCCTTGATAGATGTGGTGTGAATGGCAATTCACCTCTGTGGTAAAGTCTTCCTCCCAAGAATACAATTCTAGTATAATCATGAGAAAAAACATTTAACATCAACCAAATGGGGCACATTCTACAAAATTATTTGACAAATACTTCTCAAAACCATTGTGTTCATATAAAATAAGGAAAGTCTGAAAAAATGTGAACAGCCCAGAGAAACCTAAGGAGATGTGACAACCAAATGTAATGTGGCATCCTAGATAGGCTCCTGGAAGGGGAAAAGGCCAGTAGGTGAAAACAAAGGAAATTTTGGACTTTGGTTAATAATAATGTGTTAATATTGGTTTATTAATTATTACATATACACCATTTCCACAGTGTAAGATGTTAACAGTAGGGGAAACTGGGTGTAGGGTATATGGGAACTCTCTATTTTATCTTCATCATTTTTCTGTAAACCTAAAACTATTCTAAAACAAAGATTTTCTTAATACACATATTCTTTTATTTTAAGAAATATAAATGTTAATTTAGTATCTGGAAGGGGTTACACACTGGAAAGACAGACTGAGACCAATCTTGGTTATCTTCTCTTCCTAAGTAAGGGTCCCTGGACAGTCTTTAGGGAATTCACAAACATCCTAATATTGGATGCTCAATTTGTATTGCTGTATTGAGGCATATTATTCTTGGAAAAGGGCCATAGCAGTTTTTGGTAATTCATGTCCTTGCCACCTTCCTCTGCATATGGAGGTTTTTGTCTGGAGAGCCAGTCCTTCCTCATTCTCAGTCAGTGCAGTTTAGACAGCATTGATTTCATTCATGGCCATGGTGTTTGGATCAAGGATGAACAAATGATCCAAATAAAGTCAAGGATACATAACCTTGACACTTTACTTGGAACTTTTGAGAGACAGGAACAACTCCTACTTTCCACAGATTTTTTAACTGTGAGGATATGAGCTGAATCCAAAGATATCCATTATGTCACCAATGGGTGAAGACTGCCTGATGAGAGAACCAATCAGGCAGAAGGTAAATGGAGAAATAGAGAATCCTAGGTCCTTGACAAAGTTTGAATCCCTGAAACAAGACACACCAATGTGCCAATAAATTTCCTTTTGAGCATAAGCCAATTTACATGGGGTCTTCAGTCATTTGGAATCAAAATGCCCCACGTTCTTAAACCTAGAAGGACTTCTATATAGTGGTAATTCAGCTGATGACTAAAGTTTTTCCAATATTAAGAGTTTATACAATTATCTGGCCCAGGTACTGCTTCACCAAACACCTGCTTCATGCTAACCTTTCAATCATTCAGCGTGGCTTGTCAACCTATTATACTTTTGGCCTGTGGGAATTCTGCTAGGCTCTGGGGATAAAGATAAATAAGGCATAGATCCTACTCATCAGAACCTGACAATTCCAAATTTTAAGCAAAAGAGGTATTATATAAATTACTATTTAAAGATAAGGTTATTGGAGGCCATAGAAGATAAAAGACTGTTAAGTAATATGAAATAAATAGAACCCAGGTTTTTTTTTTTAATATTTCATTTATTTATTTGACAGAGAGAGAGAGATCACAAGTAGGCAGAGAGGCAGGCAGAGAGAGAGGAGGAAGCAGGCTCCCCGCTGAGCAGAG